CTCTTGCACTATCCCATGGCACACCTACCCACAAGGTTGCCACATTTTAGGTCCTATTTTAACTTTTTTAGGAGTAGAAACTGCAACCTTAGCTAGACACCCCCACACTTTTAAGAATTTATAGGAAGGTTTTCGACCTTTCCATAAGTCATATGGTGTCACATTAGTTTAAGGTATTTTATTGAGAATATAATTTGTGGAAAACAAAACTTCCCTTCACAAATTCTGAGTTAAACTAGAATTTATCAATATAGCATTCATCATGATATCATGTTCTAAACAAATATTAGCACAAGTGTTTTGATCTTTTTGCTAAGTTGATTCTCAACTTCATTTTTATAATGTTTAAAACATTTCTAAGGTTTTATATTTGCTTTGTAGCAAATATACATAACAGTATCTTATGCAATCATTGATAAAACTAATGAAATACCCTTTTCAACCTCTTGTCGATATAAATTTAAGATAATATAATATACTACATCATATTATAAAATTAAAATAATTCAATATTCTATTTATATAACATGCTTCAATTTCATATAATATTGAACACATCAATATTTAGTATATTATCATATAATAATGTATATAACATTATTTTATTATATCTCAATTATTAGTATAATTTCTACTTTTTTATATCTGAAATAGAAGCATATAATAAATTCTACGCAAGGAATGATCTGTCTTAAGATTGTTGGTAAATATATGCTTCATGTGACATTTAAGATATAACAAACTTTATACTAATATGTCATGAGAAAATTAACAATATGCTAAGATATCATTAATTAAATATGCAACTCTATATTTAATTAAATATGCAAAATAAATCAATAAAATAATAATAATAAATAAAGAACTTGGACCGAGGCTAGTATTGAATACTATGTCCTTAAGACAGATTCACCCCGCTATGGTGCTAACAGACTCAGTGGAGTCTATCTCCCAGGATACAACGGTCTACATCCACCAGTAACATCACTACAAACTCGTGGATATGGCGAACCTCCTCCGTGTAATACTCTCTGACTCAAAAATGCATCTATACTATATAAATGCTAAATTGGATGTAATCCGAACCAAATGGTTGGAACCAATCTTAATATGGCTCGATGAAATTGGATTAGGGTCTAAGTGACTCAGACCACTTGACCTATGGTTTGAACCCACTTGGGTTGTGTTCAAGTCTAGAGAGGGAGATAGAAGAAAATGAAGTGAATAATTTGCAAATGATCAAAAGGGGGGTATTTATAGGCAACAAGGTGCCTTTTCGGGTGGGTGTGTCTCTTTATCATTGGATACAACCATATATATATGTGTCTTTTCACACTGGACACATCCACTCCAATTGGTTGCAATGGTTCACATGGTGTCTGTTCACCAATAAACACATCCACTCTAATAGGTTTCAATGGTTCACATGAATAGTTATGTCTGTTGGTTTTGAGTTACAACCCTTTAGAAACAGATGCAACTTTTTGAAAAACAGATACAACCCTTTAGAAATAGATGCGACCCTTTGGAAAAAAACTAATTTTTAATTTAAATTCAAAAACCAACCACTCATATAAATAAGCCTATCCCAAAATTAAAGGCCCAATCCAAGATTCCATTTAGTAAAAAGAATAAGTGGACTTTACAATTAGGCGCCCAAATTTGGCTTATTTAAATTTCAATTGGTTTCAACATTTTTTCCATGTAGGACAAACACTTCTTACATTTTGCATACCCATTTAGGCTTATCAAAACACCACACTTTAGAGCTAATTTCTTATTCACCCGGAAATAGATTTGAGAAAGTAACTATACCACGTTTATCTCCTTGTAGAGAGAAACGCGCTCGTCTAGAGATTCGCAAAAAAATTATTAGCAGAATCTATTCCAAATCTCATCCAAAGTTTATGTTTTTAATGCCCTCGTTTCCAACATCGAGAAAATCTAAAAAAAGTCAGAAAAATTTGCCCTGAAGCAATTTCGACCGATCGAGAATTCAGCTTCGATCGATTGAAAGTTGGCGATCCTCTGAAGCCACGTCAACAATCCGGATAAGGCTAAATAGATATATTCATGCCATGTCATTCTCGATTGATCGAAGCTATTCTCAATCTGTCAAAGATTTTCTCGATCAATAGAGAATACGCTGGCAGCGAGCTGTTTTATTCCCGCGTTGGCTCAAACTTCACCTACCACATGGTTGCGAGATTGCACCAATTAAAAGGCCATTTTCTGACTTGTTGCCTACTCAAAGGGGCTTAATTGTATTTAAATCAAATTGAACCATTTGTTAGGGGTTCACTTCTTAGCTTTTGGATATCTTTTATTTTACATTGTAATTTTATTTCTCTCTTTAGAAAAGTTAGAGATTAGGGTTTTGGGAAAAGAGGAGAGTGGAGACACTAAAAACACACTTGAAGATCTACACACTCTCTATCTAGAATTCATCAAAGAAGAAGAGGGAAAAGATAGAGCCATGTTTGGAGATAGCCCTTGAGGGTTCCATGACCACATCCACCTTTTCCATGATTGGCTAGGCTTCTCCTTGGGGTTTGGATGAACCCCAAACTTGTAAACTAGACCATGTATTTTGACTTTTTAGGGAATTTATCTTGTGATTAGTGTTATAGCTTTGTGTATAAAATGAATCTTGGTTTATCTCTATGATTTCTATGGTTAAATTCTTCCTATTAATTCTCTATATTAGTTGCATGTCTATGCGTAATTAATTGATGATTATATATTTATGATTCATATGGTTTAATTCTTCCTATTGATTCTCTTTGTGATTACATGTTGTCTTATGTATGATTATTTGGGAATTAATCTCTGCACTAGTTTCTTTATGTTGTTTGCATGTCTATGTGTGATTAATTAAAGATCTAGTGATGGCTATGCATGATTTTCATTGAATGGGTTTGTCAATTAATTTGATGAATTATACTTATACTTGATGGGTTGTTCAATAATTTAATTTATGTTTGTAGGTAGGTATAAAATCCATGCTTGATTTAATACTCCATGGATTATTGTTACAAATTCCATAATTCTCTAGATTGATGTGTGCTACAATTGTTGACTACTTTAATGGGTCATGCTTAGAATTGATGGGTTATGCTACACTTAGTTTATTTGTCGGTTAGATAGACAATTCATACTTGAATTTGATGGTCCATGCTTAATATCGCAATTGGTAGTCGTATTTTGTTTGCAATAATGTTTTTCCCTAATTAGTTGAAAGTGTGTAGCTTAGTGAACTAGCTTGGTGGTGATTTCAACACTCCAAGACCTCTCTTCCTAGCAATCAAACCCTATCTCAATAATTGCATTTTAATTTCATTGTATCTTAGTTTAATCAACCAATCTCTCCTTGCAATCCTGTGATCCACTAAAGTCAAAGTTAAATTCCGACTACATGTCTATGCTTCATTAGTTGTAGTAATGGTTTTAAAAATGTAAATTTGACTTTTAAAAGCTTCCAAAACCACAATCATATTTTGACATTGCAAAACGACCTCTCGCATTACAAAGTCGGTTTTCTATCACATAGAAAAGGGCTCGTCACTTCCACACCGTGCCACTCACAAATCCTTGGAGCGTTTCATTTACTTATATATAGTGGATTAACAGGTAGATGTGAGTTGCACAATGTGGAATGGTTGTGGAATATAGTATAGATAAACAGCCTACAGGGTGGTGATTAGGTTCAACTGTTCGTTTGCCTAATTTTATATTAATTTAAATTTATCATAATAAACTTAAATTATGCACCCACAAGATACACATAAATTGCAATTAAAGTAAAAAGTGAGTTTAGAATGATACTGAATTTTTTGCAAGGAAACCTTGATTGGAAGAATAGACCAATCATTGTGGGAAAAACCTCGTGGACTACGTCGTAAAGAGCAAAAAGATTCACTATGTATAAAGTAAAGTACACTCGACTCTGACTCAAGCTCACACCCTATCACTCTACCAAAAACCAATTGCTGTTGATCCCTGACTTTACAACTCCCCCGTCCAACAATTCTCGACCTTAGGCTTATTCTTAATCTCTATAAAAGGATCGCTGGTAGATCAACCAACACTCCACGAGTGTCTTGATCCCTTCAAAGTGTGATCTTCTTTTCCTTTTCTTAAAAACCAATTATCAGAAGTTTGCAAGAAATTATGCTTTACGACTGATAGATATGAAATCTTCAATCACGCCAATCCCGATTAAACAATGAACAAACAACCTAAAACACTCCGCGTATAGTTGTGTGCTCTCAAAAATAGAAAAAATAATAAACTCTCAAAAACTCATACAAAAAGGCTTTCTAGGGTTATGAAAATATTTATGCAAAAGCCCTAAATTAATGTGTGTGAATATGAGTTTATATAGATAAGTATATAGTCCTAATAGTGTTAGAAAATACATCAATTTTCGTTCTAGAATATCCCTTTAAGTCAGACTCAAAAGGTAATACAAGTTGGTAAAAACACAAACTTTCCTTTTTGGTTCAGAAGAATGCAATCGGTTCAAGCTTACTTTGGAATCGGTTGGATTTTTTCCGAGACATGATTTTGCGCAGAAAATGCAACTGATTCAAGAGTGAAGTCCAACCGATTGGATTGCTGAAATACCCTAAGAAGAAAAATCCAACTTGTAACCCATTTTAAGTGATCCTCACACACTTATCATGACTATTAGCTTTTCATTGTTGTGAGTCATTTCACTTGAAAATTCCACTTCCGAGACCGACTCTTGATGATAAACAAATATTACAACTCGATTCGGACTTGTTTTGATCACCAAAATATGTCAATAATAATTTTACATCTCACACTAGATATAATTGTCGTGGAAATCTTTTTGTAAGCCAGAAAGGGAAGAAAAAAAACAAAGGGGAGATTTGAGCTAGCATGTAATGTTACAGCCTAGAATGCATATATTTGTATTGTATTTCAGTACAAATTACAGCTCCTTATAAATTGCCATGAGCATCTAATAGAACTCATCATACCCTTTGTAGGGTCTTCATAGTTTTATCATCATCATCCCGTTCATTAGGGACAATCTTGTTATTAGGTTGGTTTTGTTTGGGCTTCTCATCAGCTGCAGGCTTGTATTCAGCCAACTTTCCTAATTCTTCAACTTCATCTACGAGCCCTCCAATTCGTGCAACAACTTCAATCAGCAAAGAAGCAAATGTTACAACAGGGATGAATTCCAAGAGAGGTATCATAGTAGTTGTCGAAAGCACCGATTCTCCTTTCTCATTTTCGGGAGTTTTGGCCTCTGAATCTGGTGGTGGTGAAATGAGTATTCCAGGAAGAGACTTCAAATAATTCTGGAGCTCTTGTACTGCACTGTTCATTTCGTCAATTGCAAAATCTATTGTGGATGATTTCCTCATTGACTTGATGTTTATTGCTAGCTCTTTTATCACACTAGAGGAATTTGTGCCCACTCTCAAGCAGACACCACTTAGATGCTTCTTTATCAACTCAGGAGCCTGTATTTTAGTCAGTAAAAGATGCTTCATATTAGTATACATTCGAAAAACTTTTAGGAATATGAGTTAGGCCATGGTACGTAGAAAATAATAATTTTGTCACTAATAAAAATTAATGCTAAAACTTTGGTTACCTGATTTTCGGAGTTGATGCAACTATTTAGTGCCTCTATGCAATAAGCACAGTTACGCATTGATGCCCCAATTTTGAGGTACTGTTTCCATGGATGTTGGAAATTGAAGCGCCCGTGGGCAGGTTCCCATCGAGCAAATCCAGCCTATATAAAATATCGGACCACATCTCATTAAGAGAAATAAAGGACAAACTTAGTGCACGAGACTCCTGTAATTACAGGGTCTTGTAACGAACTACGTAAAAGATTTGAAAATATATTTGGAATCATATATCCCTTCGCATACCATAGAATCTTCTGTTGCCTTTGAGTTCAGCACACACTTGTAGCCTTGCAATTTTTTATCACATCCTTCTTTACTGTTGGTGGTCCCTTCACTATCACTAAAATACTCGGCCACGCAACCTATAAAATGATTGTATGGGAAAAACAAGTTCTTAATAAGAATAACTTAATTTGATCAGTACATATATAAGCTGCGGATGGTATATGACAATTATACTTACCATCTAAGGAATTTGCAAGCTTGTCCATGTTGCAAATGATGAGAAGATAGAGCTCCTCGCCAGCCCAAATTGGTCGTATAAGCATGATGATGACAATGCAGATAGAAATTCCTACGATAATGGTGGACAATCTTTGATGAGCCAAATCAATCAGCTTTTCCACCCGATAACCAGATACTGTAACTAGGCTGAATGTGAGAATGAAGATCATAGCACCATAATCAAACCTCGCTTTCACTACCGGAATAAATCTAGAGAAGGTTGCTGCAGAAGCTGTAGAAAGATAATATATAGCTAGTGAGTCCAATATCCTATATATATATACAAGTACGGTACTTTCTCAGGAAGCAAATTATATTTTACATACCTAATAGGAAAACAGACACTCCAACAATTATAGGTGCAATTTTTTCTCCTGATTGACTAGCAAGCCAGTGAACCCCAACTGCGAGTGCTCCAGCAAGAAAAGTTCCACTAGCTCTATTCAAGCATTTACAGATTGTTGCACCTGTAATAATGTAAGGCTTTAGTTTTCAGTACTGCTAGGTTCAGAATTGCTTTCTTTGCATTTCAAAAAAATTATAGATGTTGAGTACTTGAACATCAAGCCATTCCTGTCAGGCTGTCATGAACATTTAAAAAAAAAAAATCTTTCAATATTTGCAAGATATATTTTGAATTGAATAAAAAGGGTCATGATGGATGTTTAATTTGATTGTAGAATAGTACTAATGATGGTTTAGACATAGAAGTGTGGGAGAGACAATTTAACTAACAATAGAAGTGTTAAAATTTGTTGGGTACTTACCCACAGTGTATTCGAAGACAACCACAACTGTCATAACTGCCCACATGGCATTCCCGCCAACACCATCGTACAAAGGTCTCATATAGTAAAACAATGAGACAACAGTAAGGGCCATCCCTACTTTGAGACAGTGGATCACTTTTCTTGGTTCATCCACACCTAAATCCCATGCCTTCTTTATAAACCTCCACACTCGCATTGCTAAACCTACAATCAGTCCTTGAAAACCATGCCAGGCCTTGCTGGCAATTCCCGACGACTCTGGTGCCAAAGTCTCTGACGAGCCATTTCCCACTCTTATCCTCCACTCCACTCCTCCTCCTCCTCCTCCTCCTCCTCCATTGGCAGCTTCCTTTGTGTTGGCCATCTGAGATTGCAGTGACATGTTGATGAGATGAGAGAAGTATATATATATGGTGCTCTTGTGAATGTGAAGTTAATTGCCAATAAATAACCCCAATGCCATGCAATGGCAAAACCAAACCTAGGTGTTAGATTGCATGTTGTGTCTGTTGAAATCTGATATATAAAGGGGTATTTGGCATCTAATTTTGTCTGTTAAATAAATAAATAAAAACTTTTTTCCAATGGAATAGGGATCCTAGCTAGAGGGCCCATCATTTTTATATATTTTTGGGTAGGTCATTTGAGATTTTATAGCCTCTCTCTCTCTCTTTCACACACACCACAGTGACACACGCAGCACTATTGCATGCATATATATCTTGTACTGGTGGTGTACACATTGCTTATATCACCTGCATTTAGTGTAATTTTTCTGTAGTCTCGCTTAATATTACATATGAAATCAATTTGTCCTTAGAATATAATTATAAAATATAGAATCCACAACCCAAACAATATTTTAATTTCATGATGGCCAAATGAACTGGCCAGCATGAGTGCTGGATTATCTTGACAATCACAGCAGTATGTAAACATAAAATTAATCAATATACTATGTAATAATTTCATATCAGACCTAGCTAAGAAGCATTATGTTTTAAACAATGATAAATTTGTGTAAACCTTTGGCTTTGCATGAGCAGTAGAGATGAAATTTCCTAATTTAAACAAAAAGTTAAAACGTCATCGCTTTATTGTTATAAAAAAAATGTTTCAGATCATAAAAAACCTAGGTTCTGCCTTTGTGATCATCCTTTCTTGTTAGTGGTTCTTTGACATCTCATATGTGATGGATATAGGAAAAATTAGGAAAACGCACCATCTTGAGATAATCATTTTTAATTCATTTTAGATATCTGGTGCTTTGTGATGCAGGCAAGTAAGGACAAAAGTATATTCCTTCATTTATCAATGTCCTAGCATTAGTACGGAAGGGTTAATTAACACTAATTATTTTCTTTTGCCTCCCTTTACCCAATTGATAAGTAACAGCAACATTTATTACTTGTTTAAGCCTTTTTTTTAATAGAAAAGGTAAGTTAAATTTCCTTATCTTGCAATTAAGATGAAATATTATATTTGATACTAAGCAGTATGCAAATATATACATAGAACCCTTGACTTTGTTCAAGGCTCTATTTATTTTCTTTAAGGAGCAATCGGTTTTTGAAGCACTCCAATTAATAAAGTCCAATAACAACTTTTGTTAGTATTTTAAAATAATAAATTCTCTCTTCTACATATTTATTTTAATTATTATTTGTCATATATATTATTAGGGTTTTCTTAAAGACGGTCAAGTTTATTGTTTTTTTCCTTGATTTAACAAAACTTTTAAGACCTAAGGTCATGTTTGGTGTGAGTAAATGAAATCAAATGAAGTAGGAATGGAATGATTTTGTTTCATTCTTTAGTTTAGTAATTAACTTTAAAGTTAAAATGATGATTCTTACTCATTATTCGAGAATGGTGATTCCACTAATTTATTTCACTTTCCAACTAAAGGAATGACCATTCCATTTCTACTTTAAATATAATAATAATAAATAAATGAATAAAAAAACATTTGATGAAACGTCGGGTACACACACACACATATATGTTTTACAAAAATAGAATGTTTTTCTATGTAATCATACACACATATATATGTTTTACAAAAATAGGATGTTTTTCTGTGTAATCATACAGGAAATGAGAATGGTCCCATTCTATTCCATTCTCATTTCATTTTTTAATTCATTCTATTCCCACTTTATTTCATTCAACTATACCCAACTAGCCCTAATAGTTTAGAATTAGTGGAAGAGGTAAACAGTTAATGACAATACAAGTATCTAGATATATTATTACATTAAAACTTTGATGTCATCAGAATTTTTACAATACTTTAGTATTTTGACACGTAATATCACTCTCAACCAAAGAATTTTTTTTATCTATCTTGAAACTCTCCACGTCTTATTCTGGGAGTATACAGTCATTCTTGCAGCTATCAACGATTGTGATGTGCTCGGTGCACTGGACACAACGAATAATTACTTCTTATTCTGGATGGGATCTATATGTGAAGCAATAAATGAGTAGCAATTAATAAGTTATATTAGTTTTAGGGGGTCATTTTGGATAATTGAACTTTAAGAAAGTGGAAAAGGGTATCATTACAATAACTAAATATATCACCACGGCTATTTTGAGGAACATTCCATAGGAATTGCCGAGTACAAGTGTACAACCCAATTTAATTATATCAAGAATTTATACTTATATCAATCAAGTTGTCAGGTTTTAGCTAGATGCTAGCTTGGTTGTCCAAGCTGATGCGTGTGTTACCAAGAGGTACTTCAGTTCAGAAAATTAGTGAAAGAAATTTGTAATATTTGTTGATTTAAGGAAGATATCTGGTAAAAATAAAACCACAATACAATTTGTAGCAAAGCATATGGATTGTTCGTATCTACAAAGATAAATCGAGGGCCAATGAAGATCACAAATTCAAAATAGGAAATAAACTCTCTTCAAAGGCTAATGTTGCCTACGTTCCCCATGCACTCTGACAGTTACAAAAATCTTGAGTGGGCGACTTGTTACCACTCGATCAACTTTGAGATTCCTACATTATAGAAGGAAAAATATGCACATCACACGTATACTAGTGTTCTTCTACATCATGGGATCTTAAGATGTTTTTGTTAAGGTATCACACACACAATTGACAAATATACAAAAAATACACAAAACAAGATTTAGGTGGTTTGGCAAATTTCCTAATTTACGGGCAAAAAACGACTAACTTCAAAACTTAATTACACACTCTTTTCTTTCTCACAATCTCCAATCACAATTACACACTCTTTTCTTTCTCACAATCTCCAATCACTTTTTCTCTCTACAATTATTTCTCTCTATAAATCCATCTCTATTTATAAATCTTCTAAACCCATTTTTTTTTTTTTTTTTTGAAAAGTAAGTTGAGAATATATTAATTGAAGAAAAGTTACATGATTGACAAAGCTAGTCCAGCTAACCCAAAGCAATTGACAAGGCCCAAGAGATTAAGCCACAAGGCCCAAGAGTAATAAAAACTACAAGAACCAACCCAGCCCAAAGGCAGACAAAGTAACCGTTGTCATCAAACACATTCATACATAGATGATATCAATGGAGGAAACTTCTCTACTAATATTTGTTTTTCAATCATGTGTTAATGTGCCCCCAAATCAAATTTTTGACTTCATGTACTGAACTAACCCTTTATATATAAAAAGGATAAATGCTCAGCAATCAATTATGCAACTTGCTACCTCTCAATTGTATATACGTTTTCATTACAAAATACACACTCACACACTTAAATATTTTTATAGAGACTCGACGCGTGTGTATGAGTGAATACACATACAAAAGGGGGTGTGAGTGTGGGGGAGATTTGATTATAAATATTTTTTCAGGTGGGATGGGTCAGAATCACCTAGAGTGGAATGTCCAATACAAGAAAGGAGCTAATTCAAGCTTATTTCAAAGCATTTCGGCCTAAAGTGGTAACCCCAATATGGATGTAAAAATACCTAACAAATCATTTGTTATGGCAAAAGTAACAAACTCATTAAGTGGTCTCCCCATGCCTTTTAGCATAGCGGCTAGCTGACCACATTCATTTAAAACTGCCTCTGTTTTCTTGTTAATTAATAATTAACACCCCCCCACACCACACACACACACACGTATTGCTGGTTAATTAGGTCAAGAATAGGACATTACCAATATTCTAGGTTATGTTGTTTATAATTAAAAGTGGGCATTGTGTATTTTTATCATGTTGTGATTGGTTTGTGCTTATTTCAATTTAATGGGAAAGAGAACTTATCTCCCTGTATGTGTTGGAGTCTTCCCACAGCAGCACTGATTTGATTTTGAAAGGCTAACTCAACTATCAAATTAAAGTTGCCTTCTGCTTTACACACTCTCTATTTATTCAATGATGTTCCTTTCACATGCTTACTTAGTACTTTTGATTCCTCAGCATATATGGATTTAATAATTTTAGTGGCATGGTGATCTAATTAAATATAATTAATTATATGGTATTGGAGTATGATTTTTAGCTTAAGAAATGAACCCCAAGAGAATTGAGAGAGAGAGAGAGAGTTGAGTTGTTAAATATTTGCAAGATTGTGAAATAATAATAAACATAAATAGTACAAAAACAACAATAAATCTCTTGATGACATAAATGATAAGGGGTCTCCTCTCTTTTTCTTCTTCTTTTTATTACTATTATTATTATTATTATTATATATATATATATTTTTTGTAATACAGGACCGATCCAATTAAGAGTTCTCTGTACTCATAGCGGTATCATGTCTTATATACTATAGTATTGCTATTTAATTATTATGTAAAAGAATAATATATATAATTATTATTATAAAATAATATATATATATATATATTCTTCTCTAAAAAAATATATTTATATATTAGTATAATAATAAAACCGAACTATATAAATAAAGAACATGTTAATAGGCCGAGTTTAGAATTGAATTTTATTTTTTTAAGATAGATTTGTCTCACTATGGTATTGACGGACTCTATAGCATCTGTTTCCTAAGATACAACGATTATCTGTACCGTAATAAATATTGTAGTTTGAGAATTTGAATTCTCACTCGACAAATCTCTGAACTCCACAAACCTTAATTATGCTATTTAGATTTAGTCATATCAACGCATGAACCGCTTACAACTTCAATTATAATCAACTTTTTAAGATAAACTTTCACCCGATGATGACGTTACAAAACTGGACCTCAAAATTCTAGTCCTGTGGTCACAGAATTCGTGGTGAGCCCTGTCACTCTAACATTTTATGCCACTTATTCATACCAAAAAAAAAAAAAACATTTTATGCCACTTGCCTTCATGTGTGTTGGGCCCCTTCTCTGACTTTTTCCA